TCTGAAGTCTGATTACAGTTTCTGTCCTCACCATCCCTGCAGGCCGTTTACTTATTCATATATCCAAGACATACCCTTTTGAGTCTCTGACAGTTGTAGCAGAATGGTTTGCGTTCATCGCACTTGACTCGCCTGTTGCGGCAGGTTTGGCATCCGGTCCTCGTCCGACGGATCTTCTTTACAGGTGGCTCCCTTTGGCTCCCACTAAACACTTCAAAATGATGTTCTTGTCCGTAGGAGGTACTCATATCGATTTGTGGGCAATACAATGGGAATTCCACGGGGTGGTGAGGAACTGGAATGACCACCAGTTGGGGGTGCGGGAGAGGGGGGAATGTCATATCTGTTAAAACAGTTTGGAGTTGTTGTGGCTGTTGTTGTCGTTGGTCTGACAATAGCTGGTGTGGTAATAGTTGGTGATTAACCTGTTGAGAGTGTTCACTGCTAGGACCAGTGGTGGGACTCAAACCCACAACGTAGACCAATGGCGGGTACCTCATCTGCTCGTTCGGATCTGGTGGATACAACTCCAGGTTTGACGGATGTGGCATGATATTCAGTGGCTTACCAATTTGCGGTGGTCGTTGATAATACAGATTGCTTTGATTCAAATGTGGCGGCTGTGGGATGTTCGGTTGATAGCTCAGCAGGGATGGGAATGCAAAAGATGACCTTGGTTGACACTGCATCCTAAGCAATTGAGGAAATAAGTCATGCGTTTGGTGTCGATAGGGAACTTGTGGTATCACAGACGTGGTGTCAGTTTTGTTGCCAACATTGCTTATTCTATCTGACTGTTCAACAGATTGATGGATGTGTATTGGGGTCTCTTGTGTTTCTTCAGAACTGGTGATTTCAGATATGGGTGGCAGAGTTACCATGTTGTAGGAGAAAGAACTGGTCATCTGTATCAATTATTTGATGCAGCTTTGTCGAATAGGTAGACTAAAATGAGAAATTCAGCAACGAAACGCTGACCGAAGCTCAGTTTCTGATTTCGACCAAACCTCTGAGAAATAAGTCGATTTGAACAAGCACTTCTTCAGAATGAGTAACACTCGGATACTAACATGAGAGAAAGATATCACTACTGGACCTCAGCATCTAAATATCCTGATAGAAGTCCGCACAAACATGCATAATGCAATACTTGGAATTTCTCAGCAAGATACGCTGAACGATGTCACTACTTTATTAGACAAAACTACTTTGGAACACCTTTAGCCTCAAAACATCAGAAAGTTGGTGGTTTCTTTTGATCCAAATTTAATTGGATATTGAATTCCTAAGAGGGCTTTGCCTCTTCGGCACAATGATGAAGCAACTCGCTGGTTTAGCTATTGGCAGCTGCACCCCCAACTCCATGCGGCAAGTGCAAGTGCGTTTACACTAAGGCCAATCAAATGTCAGAGGGAAACTTCATTCTAGATTATCGTGCATGTAAATGGGACGGTTCCGTACATTTGTGTTCTTCACATACGAAGTCAAACTAAGGTATAGTTCATCTGCAGGTTCGAGTACAGAGTGTGCATTCTGAAAAGTTAAATGAATCCAGACAAGTTTACTTGGCCAATACACCAGCACTGAACAGGGGTCCATAAAAGGGTGCTATCGAATGTTCCTTAGCAGGTCCCAACGTAACTTCAAAGCATAATGAGCTGCCTTTGACCGAACGAAAAAGATATTAGGCCCAAAAATATGTGGTTTAAGCAATATAAATCGGGTCAGAAAACTACCTTTCAAGTGTCTCACATCAAACAAACTTGCATCGAATGCCTCAAAGCTTTTTTGAAAATCTGTTGTCCGGCTTCACACGGTAAACCCATTAACAATCGTTTCACTATGGTGCACTCTGACATCGTAGCCAAATTTTCAGTAGAATGCTTGCATGGCGGTAAAAGATGTTGCATGATGTACATCTTCAGCTTCAAGCGGCTACACATTAAGCGGACTGCAAGAAGGGTTATAAATAACTCACTGCGAAGAGCATCTTCTGCATCACAGTGAGCCAAAGCCAAACACCCCATACCAAAATGGATTGTGCCCAATCCAATGATTTCATTTCTCGGATTCCTTAACCCATTTCGATAACAGGACGGCAAGAACAGGGAACTTGAGGCGCCAATGCAGCAGGTGCAGGGCGATCACTCACGAAAAGACTGAGGGGTGTATCTCCTGTTGAGTTTCTGCATTTCCCTGCTGTCCCTACTGTCCCTGCTACATATTAATGCTCATGAGCGTGCTATTAAAATATTCCAAATTACTATCTAGTCATAAATTCAAATAAAACGTCAGAAAGGCTGCTGAGAGTTCGGTGGGGCTGTTGGAGATTAGGAGCGACGGATCAGAATAACTCAAGTTTGCTAATTTTACAAAGCTCATGAACTCAGACAAATAATGCTGCGGCTTAATCTCAATATAAGGGGAGAGCTTGCAAAGTCATAAACATGTGCATATCCGCTGGGGCTCAAATAGCGCAGAGTCAGTGGAGGCTTCCATTTTAAGCATAGATCTTTGGGATTACACTATGCATACAGAGTCAGTGAGATCGCTGGTACCAAAATGGTCTTACATGCGTTTCGATGATGTTATTAAACATGATCCCAAACTGATCTTGGTTGGTTGATATAACTTGATCTGCTTGCGCACACGCATACCAAACTATGTTTCTCGTGCGGTGGTGTGATGACTGAGTCAAAAACACTATTACATTGTGGTTGGTATTACGCAGCAATAAGAGTTGATTAGGGTAAGAAGACAAACGGCACTACTGGCTCGGGGAATATCAATATTCAAAACTTCATATAGAACAGTTCTCATTCATGTGTGTCTAGATAACTATCCAATCATACCGGTTACTGCGAGTTTAGTAGCAACAAGCAATGTACCACTGAATTCTCTCGCCTTATAGTAGCACATACACACTATCCTTGTGCGTCCAATGCGTCTCATTCATATGTATAAGATAGCCATATTGGATTATTGCTGCATACAGCACCAAAACGGACTTCCAGTCTGCATGATACTTGGAAAGGTGCATGTATGAGCCACTGAAATTCCTTCCTACTACCTAAATTGCCGTTCACGGGTTAACAGAAACCTATGCTGAAGTGGTCAAGTGATGCTATAGTCAGTGCCAGTTCTGCTGTCTTCAGTATTCATGATCCTACCGGGTGTAAGGAGATTGATCAAGTTTTTGGCAATATCCTTCGCCAGCTTGAGGAAATTGGGACGGTTGTATTTGAGTGACTTGTATCTTTCGATAATGTGAAGGCAGACCACCAAGCCTAGATGGATGTATGCATGTACATGCATAAAAGTATGTGACCGAAATTGATGAGGTAGTGTGGATGATGAAAATTTTCTTCGTTCGATATTTCTTTTGGTTGCTCGAGATCCGAACATAAACATCTCTTCTAATATAGATCGGGCCGGGCACTTCCAGAGATCGGGCGGCGCTTCGCGCCGGCCTTCCCGCCTACCTTGGAATTGATGTAGCGGACGCGTATTCCACAAATAGTTAGTCAGTTGCGTCCGTGTGAGTTCTCTGTTGAACTCGATTAACATATGTTGCTCAATCAACCAAATCAGACATTCCTAATTATTAGAATTCAATTGTTCACTCTTAGATATATACAATGCAAGAGAATTAGTATATTATTCAAGATAGTAAGAGAGATCTAAATCTGAGGGTCTATAGACCCTCGCCATATATACCGTTTCGATCACAAGAAGGTGACTAATGAACTACATGACCTCATGGTTATGCATGTTGAAATCTCTGCATTAGGTCATGTCTCGAGGTTCAACTCAGTGTTTGAGCCTGCTGCATAGAAAGCCGCACAATGAGCCGCACGTTTCTAGACTAAGCATGCGGCTTAAACCCTTTCAACATTCTCCGAGAATCACGTGTATATTTGGCGTTTTTCGGACATTACATTTGAAGTTATATGAAACACCACTCTAGTGTGGCTAATAATTTATAGAAAATTAGGTAAATGGGATAAAACCAGGGATCCATTGATTCATATGCTACAAAATCTAGGATTCTCCATAATTGAGTTATCATCCACTTTCTTTAAGGTAAAATATTACTCTAAAACAGATTTAATTACCAGTTTTATAACATATTTGAACTACTTGAGGCAAGAGCAATTGGAATCATTCTCCAAAATTGATTTTAAATGAGTTTCAAAAAAATCAAAACCGAAGGATTCTGGAGCTCTCCCTTGGTTTTCGGGGTTTCGGGGCAAACACCGACGGGTTACCGACTACCAGCACCGACACAGACACCACTTTTGGGCAGCCCTACCGTTCATGCAAATCCTCAAAATTTACCCAGCACAATAGACAAGATATTAATTCTGCAAAGACAGCAAATAGACGTTAAAGCCATCAAGCGCTGTCCAAAGTAAGCTGTTAAAAATAATTTGAAATTTTCCGCAGCCCCACCCGCCCCCCCCGTCTGATCATGAAGATAGAAAAGCTGCGAAATTTGCGGAGGTCTTCATTGGTTGGTAAGTGACTGCAGCTCGACGTGCAGAATGGCGTGCAGCCGGTCTTTTGAGGGTGTTGCAAATGGAAAGATTGAGCCAAATCGACGCACGCACGCCTGGGGCAGTGACATATCCATTAATACCCCGTATGCATACAACATTCTAGAATGAAAACGGATCTATCCGACTCTAGAGTGGACTCAATAAAAACTTTACAAAAAAAGAGGAAAATCAACAGTGAATTCAGTTTAAAATCCCCGAATTACACTAGCGATGATGTCTCAAATACAAATTATAACGTTGCTGGTAACCATGTTTATGGCCAGTGAGAGACATATTTTTCTTTACGCTATATATGATATACTCCTGCCATCGCAGCTATATTTTTCGGGGGATCTCTGGCTTTGAGCAAAATCAATCCTCTGCCGCATGCAATGATTTCTGTGGTTGAAAATCTGGATTGCCAGTTATCTAGCTTGTTGACATTATCTGATAGGCCGCTAGTCATGATTGTACTTCCTCCCTATCAGCCATGACTTGAGCGTAAAACTCTTCTGGAGTAAGCCGCTCATAGGGTGTTAACTCAAAGGAAACGTAGCTGCAATAATAACCTTCTTCATCTACGCAAACAAAGGCCTCAAAAAAATCTTCATTGTTAGGAACACGCTGGTTTATAATAACGCTGAGATAGTTCTCAATAAGGCTGGTGCAATTCAGTGCCCCATTCGTGCGTTCAACGGTTGCGAATAGGGCATCATCCCATAGAGCGGATGCGGATCCTAAAAACGCCGCTGCCAAAACCGCCAGAGGCAGCATCCTAGGTGTGATTCAGGCAGTTGGTCTATTGCAGTAACGCTTTCCTTCAACAAATCGGGATCTAAATGGAAAAGGTGAACAGGAGGGGGTATTTATATAGTGATGCCGGACATAACGCAGATTCGGGTTCCTAGTCTTAAGGAAAGTTTCAACAGAATGTGTCAAGGGGGAGTGCTCGATCACGTGAGAAATTTCGAGAAGCACCCCATCTCGAAAACATCAACGCTAACGGTATTCATATCGCGCAGTCTGTCACATAGCCAGACATCATTCTGAGCTAACCAAATGAACTCGATCGTTGCAGCACTTACCTGACTCATTATCTGTTCTCTTACTTCTTTTGTTCATGTATGCTACGCTTACTAAAATAAGGGGACTAGCTGTTGGATCTTCTGAGGCGTTTTATTTATCGGTAGATTTCAATCGTTAGTATATGTCCGCAGCTTGGCGTGCAGCCCATTTTTTGAGGCAATATTGCGACCATGAGTTGTTGGTTTCAGCCCAAACAATATGGCCCCGTTAATAGCATCACTCGAGTGAGTCATTCATTGTTAGTGCGTTCAGTATAACGCTCAATAGCAATGTTATTATATTTTAGAATCTTGAGAATACACTCGCGATAGTCTCTCCTTTCTTCTGAGTTCAGTTCTAGTAACAATTCACGATTTAGCTTAATTGGCATGCCCATTATGATCGACGCAAGCATAAACTTGAAAGCTACAAACATTTGTTTTCGGTTTTCAAGGTGAGCAGGTGTGTTTGGCTAGTAGTTCCTTTCAGATTAGTTAGAGAAAGTAGGAGGGGCAAACTGTCCAAACCTTGTTGATTTGTATCTCTCCGTGTGCTGATCAATTGCTATGCACCAAACCACCTCTCTTGCGCTCAAATTTAGTCGTTTCTCGTCCGCATTTACAGAAAAAAACTGTAGATTTGGTAAATCCATATATTGTATGAGGCGAGTTAAAAACTAACATTATTAGCCGAAAGTTGTAAGTGTTTCTCAATAATAGGGAGTCTAAAGCCCGTGGGCAGCGTAAAAATATCATCTTATTGTCACACTGAAAGCAGTGTCAATGCACGTCAAAAACAACTAAAGATGCGAGATGAGGAAGGCTCTTATGCTGATATTTACAATCAGCAAAAAGTATCATGATCCCGCAACTGAAATCCACATTCAAAGACATCCAACAACAATAATACATATAATAGTCATTATATTATATTATATCATACTATAAATGAAGGAGCAACTTATTCTAGTCATAAATCTTAAAATCTCAGTATATATGATTTTTCATAATATTCATAGATAATCGATCAAATTCAAAAATGGATGGACAATTACGTATTCCCAACATGCTGTAGAGGATTAATTTCGCTCGAAGCCTGAGATCCATGGAACAATATTGCTGCGATAGATGGCAGGAGCAGATAATAGATAGCGTAAAGAAGAATAAGCCTCTCACTGAGTCATTTCAGGCGATTAAAATGTTGCAGAAGTATTTGGCAGGGCTCTTTGTGTCCTGGCTGTGAAGAGCATCTTCACGTGGTCGCTTTTTGATGTCCAGAACAACAACAGGAAGTATCCGTTATCGGGTGCCATCAGCTTCTACGTGTTTTACGTTTCTTTGCTGAGCTCATTCGAGACCTCGTTCTCACTGTTTTTGCTACTGATCATTGCCCTTGGCTACGGTGTTGTCTATCCTAAGCTTAACAAGAAGCTCATGATGAAGGTGAAAATTCTGGACGGTTGTCATTTCATTTCCGGTGTTAATTTCATTACATGCTCATCCCTCAGCACTCGATCCCAAGCGAACTCTGGCGTACTGGCGAAGATAGCGGCACTGGTGCTGCCTCGTGATTTGTTCTGCTTACGGCTATTTTGTAGGCTTTCACTTAGGTGGCTTTCTACTTTCTGATCCTGACGAGTCCTTCAGACACCGTGAAGCTTTTGGCTGAAAACAAACAAATTGTAAGGTTGGAGATGCACCCATATAATATGGTATTTTATATCTGAGCCTTTAAAACTCATACGGCCTAGGTTTTTACAGTATATGTAAATACAGGATATTTGATCAAACTGTTCTGAAGTGAGTGTAGATGATAACATTTAGACTAATGTAGCAATCAACTGGCAAAATAATTTACCATACAATCTATCGATTCACCTGATTGCCTAAAGAAAAGGAAAACTGAAAAATAGCAAAAAAGTACCCAAAATAACTGGCAGCGTTACGAAAAAACTACAGGGATAAGTTTTATATCAAGTCAGCAATATAACTGTATCACACACTAGGCCACTCAAAATAAAGCATCAAAATTTCAATATACTGCTCTCACACCGGAGCACACTTTTCAATTATCCCGAAAGGCCACACAGAGTCATCAACCCGCATATCTCTGCACATGCATGAGCGGCTCAAATGATGAAACCCCACATTTTTGCTTTATCAGCTCCTACATCCGTGGTAATCGGCTACACGGTACTTTTGATTTCTAAAACATTTATAGGGCAACAATAAAAACTGCCAAAAAGTACTCAATATCTTGGGCCGGAGCTTCAAGCTACTTCTGGCTCAGAATTATACTCGACGTGAGAAACTTCTTGCTTCAAATCGTCATAGAACCTGTCGCTATCTTGTTGCTTCTGAGTCTTGTATAACTTCCACTCCTTTAGGGGAATGTTTTTATCATACAACTCGTCGATCTCTTCAAAAGACCTTCCAGCGGTTTCCGGTTGGATGAAGTAGAACACAAAAATCGACAAGAATGACATACCCGTGAAAATGAAGTTGATCTTGGAACCCATATCAGCCTGGTCTGCGTTAAACATGTATGGCAAAACAAACGACCACATGCATTGGAATGCATAGTTTGTAAGGGTAGCAAGCGCCATAGTCTTTGCTCTCAAACTAACAGAAGACACCTCTGTGGCCATGATATATGGCAAGGGACCTATACCGAGGTTATAAAAGAAGTTGTACATCACCATGAATGCGGATGCAGCTACCATAGCACCATAGTTGTTTTCGCTCAAGCCTGCACAGGCAACAATCAAATTCAACACAGTCAAAGCAGTGATACCATAAAGCATCAATGGTCTGCGTCCAAATCTATCGATGATGAACCAAGACGTAATGACACCAGTGATCGATAACGCCTGACCGCCACAACTCAACTGATATGAACGTTGGGTAGACCACCCTGCATACTGGAAGTAGTAGGTAGAATACGAGGAAATGAAGGTAACTCCCGACATTGGTTGCATAAAAAACGCAAACAAAATTGTGAAAGTTCTCTTGATATCCTTCTTCTTGAAACAGTCAAGGTAGGTCGATGACTGTGTAATCAGCTTGAGCTCCTCGTAAGTCACCTTCATGATGGCAAACTGTTGGTATGCTTGAGTTGGGGTGTATAATCTCTTCAAGCTCTTCAAGGCATCCTCGTTTCTGTCTTTTCGAATGAAGTAGTAAGGAGACTCAGGCATGAATGGCGCAAAAAAAAGGCATGAGACTGAGAATACCCACTGTGGGATGAAAACTCCTCTGTATGCCATCCTCGATGTGTAAGTTGCTGTTTTATTGTTGATAAGGTAACAGATGAAGGGACCTATGCACAATGAGAGCGAACATGCACCTGCAGCCAAACCTCTCAAAGCCAAAGGCGAAACTTCGGATACATAACTGATTGCCATTGTAGAAAAAATACCCAAACACAACGCGTTGACCATTTTTCCGGCCATAAATACATTGATTGTAGTCGCGACGAATTCAATAGCGATACTAGGAACGGAAACGACAAGACCGGCAACAATGATCCATTTTCTTCCGAATCTGTCTGCGAACCATGAAGATGTCATCGATGAAAACGCAATAGCCGCAAGTGGAGCACCAGAGATAGCGGATTGCCATTTCGTCTCCAAAACATATTGGTCTTCATACCAGTGTCCAAAGTCTTGTCTGAATTGCGGGATGGAGACCACAATACTTCCGGCTTGGCCTTCGTAACCCACCAATATCATCAGCCAAACCATAAACAGAATCCAAGCTGATGCCTTTGGATAAGCCTTGATTGCTTGCCATCTCGTGAGTTCGTGTTCGATTTTTTGTTGCGCATGAGCAGCAGCTTCTAGTTGATCAAAATCGAAAGACTTGACGGATGCAAGCTGGTGCTCCTCGGTTTGCTGGACGGTAGTGTCCTCGGCAGGACTTTCGTTCTTCATGGCCTCAGTAGTAGCCATGTTGGGTTCTGAAGATGGGAATGTAATTTTGGAAACCTGCCAGTAAACTCGCTACAGACGAGGAGCTGTCCCAAATATATACATCCTGTAATTGAGCTGCAGGTCATGCAACATCTTGCCTGTACATTTCTGGGGTAAATCGGGAAATTTAAAGTCCCAACACTCAGGAAAAGGGAATTTTTAGCGCTTCATCAGCCACTTTCAGTATGCTTGGAAGCCGGGTGTGCGGGGTAGCGGAGAGGTTCGGTGTTTGATGTCTCCGCCTCCTGAGTGCATTGTGTGCGCGTAGCGGAGCATCTCGGTGTTTGATGTCTCGAACTCCAGGGTGCATTTTAGGCATTGGACGAATTTGAAATTTCCGGGTTGAATTTCATTTTACCGGGATGCAGACCCGGTCTTGGCAGCCATTTTTCTTGTGTGCTCTCGTTCTACCAGCACTCGCAGAGGGGTTTCATTGACCCAACATCAGAAAACCTTACACCCCTCATATTGGGTTGACATCAAATATGTGACATCAGTATCATGTTTGCGCCGATCTGGTTTTTAGTGCAGGCTTAACCTAGAATCAAACTCAGTCCTGAAACTATCCCGGCTCATGATTGTCATCTTGCCGTGCGCAAGCTGCTGCTGCGTGATAGACTTGTCCAGAAAAGAAATTTGTTCTCCCTGAACTATTGGCTGGATCCAAACTTCCCCTCATGCTTGGTTGGTCATAATAGGGTTTAATGCAAAAAATCATCATAAGGTGTACGTTTAGGGAGTGGCTTGGATCTGGAGAAGTGGCTTGGCTCTGGGACAGCGACTTGTGCATTGCCCAATCTGGGTTCCCCACAAAATTGCATCCGACCTGCCGGTAAGAAGGGTCTTAAAATACTGCCGTCACCTTCGGGGAGGCAAAACGAAAATTTCAAGTTTAGTTTCTCGAGGATTGTGTTAGAAACTCCTGGATGCCTCACAACTATTCATATTGTCATTAGGTCAGTGCATAGCGATTTTTTATATCCTATCTCCGGTGATGAGACGGATTTAAGGCGCGGGGTCCGACAGGGGCTTTTATATATAAATGCTCGCCATTGCTGGACTCACCATTCAGGCTCATTTCCCAACATCGTCTATCCACTAGGCGTAATCTATCTAAAGCCATCTACTATAATGCCTTCGAACTATGCCCTCCTGCTGAAGGGTAAGAATGAGCCACTAGTGGTTGAAGAGGTTGCCTTTCCAACTGCGGAGGCTCACCGGATCGTTGTTCGCACCCGTGCTGTTGCCGTGAATCAGGCAGACTTCTTCCTCCAGATGATGGGTCAAGACCTGTTTCCTTGGCTCGAATTTCCCGTAGTACTTGGATTTGATGTTGCCGGCGAAGTTGTGGCTGTTGGACCCGACGTGGAGGGCTTCCAGCTCGGCGACCACGTTGCTGGTCTGGGAGGCTCCTTCGGGGGCGACTTAAACCCCCGGGGTGCCTTCCAGAACTATGTCGTGCTGGACGACAACATGGCTGCAACCATCCCGGACGCCATGTCTTACGAGAACATTGTAGGTTTGCCCGTGACTGTCTCGACTGCCGCTTGTGGTCTGTTCATGCCAGACTACCTGGACCTGCAGTTCCCGCAGGCCGACCCTTCTGCCCGCAAACAAACAGGCAAGACGATCTTGGTTTGGGGAGGTGCTACCGGAGTGGGCTGTGCGGCTATCCAAATGGGTGTTGCCGCCGGCTACGAGGTAATTACCACTTGTTCTCCCAAAAATTACGAATACGTGCAACGCCTGGGCGCTACCGCCGCTTTCGATTACCACAGTAGCACCATAAGTGATGACTTGAAGGCCGCATTCACCGGAAAAACCTGCGCAGGAGCATTGGCTATTGCTGGAGCAGATCCAGTTGGATGCAAAGAAGCTATCGATGCCTGTATCGAGCTCGTGGCTAATGTCCCGGGCGACAAAGCCGTGGCGCTTGCCATGCGGCCACCAGATTCACTGCCGGACGGCATACGGATAAAATTCATATTCTGCAGCGACATCAAGGACAATGAAGTTGGTGGCCACATATTCAACACCTATCTACCTGAGGCCCTCTCTAATGGCAGCTTTGTACCAGCACCGAAACACGAGGTCGTTGGCAGCGGGCTCGAAGCAATCGAGGGTGCTCTTGAACAGCTGAAGAAGGGAGTGTCCGCCAAGAAACTCGTCGTGTCCATTTGATTTGTGACAGAGCATTGAATCGCAGACCTGCTTTTGTGTAGCTTTTTAGGTGATATTGGTCCAGCCTCCTCAGCTCAGTATGCATGCAGATGTGTGACCTGTGAGCAGCTGATTATTGCACTGAGTGCAGACTACTTTTCGGTGTATTTACCCAAAGATCAACAAACAGCTCATGCGACATGAGTATTTGAGGCGACCTGAATCTTTGTAGTTCGAGATTAACATAGCCGTCGTATAGAAGCATCATTTGTTGAATTGATTGACAAAAGCTCTCATTGCCATTTCTCACGCCTTTTCGTAGGTTTCGCGGTTATTTGTCACGTGCACTAGTTGATGCGTCTTCGACCAGGCATCGCTTTTAAACCTCCTTATTATTTATTGTTTCTTCTTCCTTGGCATGCATCTATTTACGTCCTGTGACATTATTCAAAGATGTTTGGATACACAAGATGTATAATACATCTGATGCTCATGAGCACGTTGGTCAGTGCTACTCCCTTTCATTTTGAAATGGTGAACAATCGAACGGAGCAATTACGCCACTCCGTTCCTATCTACAACACACCTGCGCTATTTCTTTCACAAGGGTTTGAACCACTCATTCGGGTGAGAGCCCTGGAAGTGGACACGTTCAATGAGAAGAATGCCTCTGTAGTGTGGGACCTAGATGTTTTGATCATGACCGAAGAGGACTTGAAGGTTGTCAAACTTGACAAAGATATAGACGAGGTTGTGGATTTCACCTCAAGTGAATTAGAAGGATATACCTATTTTCTATTAAATGACCCAGACTCCAAAGAAAAAAAACCCTATAAGCCTGAAATTGAACAATACAGTTTGGATCAAGTTTTGGAAAGAGGTCTGAATCGGTCTTGGATTACATCCCTTACACTCACTCCTGACAATCTCATCGCTGAACATCCTATTCAATTTAATGAAACCTACTGCATTATTGCAACTTTCCACTGCTCGGAAAGGGCATTCTTGGAACTAGATGTTGCTGTTCGGAATCCTCATGGCGAGCTGGATGAAGAGGACTACAAGTACATGCATATCTACATTTTGTTTGGCTCTTTCTACGCCATCAGTTCCTTGTTGTACTTCTACTATGTTTTTTTCGTGAGAAGAAACACGACCAAGGAATACAATACTATCACGTCATCCAATTCTTCGCTCAAAAATGGGGAGATCCAACTCCGAATCCTGATTTTCATGTTTGGCAACTCTTTGGTTTGCTTTGTCACGGCCAGCCACATGGCAATGCTGAATATTGATGGCCGCCACAATCTCCGCTTTACCGGAATTTTGTTACGGTTTGGATCTCGGGTCTCGCTCAGCATTTTTTTTGCCTGGGTTCTATACAACTTGCTCCTGATGTCTTCGGGCTATCTTTTTATATCAGAATTAAAAGATACAAGGATGCTTTGGTTTATAAGATTGGTGACAGTTTCCTCTCTGATCAGCTGGTGTATATCCGATGTTGAACTTGCATTCTTTCCTTATGAGTTGATTGGAGGGATGGCTGAGGGAATTATTGAACTGATATTGTTCATTGAATACGTGATAAGTTTTATTTCTGGTTCCTACTTCTCTATCAGGACTTACTCTGAGTTGCAAATGCACGGCAGAAAAGCAACTGCAAAGAGGTTCCTAGCAACAGTGATGCTGATTCTTTTGCCAATCGTGTTCTTTGGGTTTAGAGAACACAGGATCCATGTTCGGTTTGTAAGACGTGTGGTTCGTAAGATTGAAAACACCAGATCGTTCAGTCACATCTTCAAACTGGTCGCCACTTTGTTGGTTGCATTTCTGTGGAAGGATACCGATCTCGAAACGGAGAAGGTTTTGAAGGGAGAGTGATCCTAGATAGTGAATTATAATGTTTGATTGGCGGCTTAGTTCAGCGTTCCTTAAGAGAGCTCTCATTACATTGGTTTTTTTCCAAAAAATTGTGAGTTAACAAAAAGTTGTTGTTAAGAATACAGATGGATTACATTGCTATGGAACCAGCAATTTTTTGAAAACTTGAGCGGTCAGTGCAATCTTCAAAGTTATTGAAATCCTCTTGTAGTTCGACAATAATGTTCGTCATGTTAGTTTGACTGTTATATTCAATAGCTTAGGTTAGAGTAACCCATAGTCCTGTTGTCGTCAACTCGCATGTCCACTACAAAGAATGCTACAACATATCAGTATTTTCAGTTCCATTATGTGAAGCAGTGCAATGAATTTGCTAAGAAAAGTCCAGACCCTCTGAGCCATCGTTTTGAACCTCACTATAGCTAGGAGGAGGCGAACTTATTTGCGCGTGTTCGCCCTTGTGGTGTTCCCGATTGAGATCAAACTCAAGTGTATCACCTAGTGGGTTTCCAGAAGAACTCATCAATTGGGCATTCTCCTGTTCGTCTAGATCGTCAAATTCAATTTCGCCTCCACTAGCCACGACATGTGGCTCCTCAGAAAACTCATTTTCAGGCACCTTATTTCTGCAAGCCCAAAGGTATAATTCATGGCTGGGTCTGAACAAAAAGACAACACAGGTGAATACCGCGAAGAAGAGGCAAGACGAACAAAAATCGAATAGGCTGCTGAGAGTCTTTAGTGCAGTGAACGAGTTGTTGATCTTCAACATTATCAAGATTATGGCGGTACTAATCATTAACAATGCAGATATAGACAATACCCAGAAAAGCCTCTGGTACAGTTTCAATTTTGCATGTTGTTTGTCTTCCGCCAGCAGCTTTTTAATCTCCCAGAGGGCTGATAAGGCCATGTAGTAGCATATAACGGAAGAAATAGCACGCACTATCCCTAGGAACCACAACCCCATCTCATAGTCATCACCTTCGAAACCACGGCCAGCGGGACCTGATTGTGGCTGGGATACGGTGAAACATGAGAACGCGAAAAAAAGAACACCAGCCAAGAGGTTACTAAAACCAATAGCGCATGCAAGTCTCACAGTTTTCGCAGGTTTTCCGTTTGACTTGGGGAACACAATTTCGTAACCTGCAGAGATGAGAACCAAAAGAACAAGCGCAGACGGTATTTTGAACGCACTCAATAAAGACACGCATATCTGGTAAAACATGATCTCATCCCCTGTTGGGTGTAATAAATTGGTTTTGTTGTGATTCACGAAAGCAAAAAAAGACCACGTGAAGATACTTTCTAGCGTTAGGTACGCCAAAAGCCAGGCAAGGCTCTTCTGTATCACGAGAATCTCAGACCTGTGCATGAACAATTGGAACAGGTACACAAACAAACTGACCGCATACAGGACAGCCAGCAAGCCATGAAACTTCAGCTTGGGGATCTCTGCTGCAGGCAAACTTCCAAAAGAATTTTGAAAGTCTACCTGGAGCAGATATCTGTTTGGCGATTTTCCCAAACCGTGTGGAGACGAACACGCCACACAGTAGTAGCCTGTTTTCAATATCTTGTACTGTAAGCCGTTATCGCCATAACTGGTAAGAACACTGGACAATACCTCGGCCTTCGGAGTAACGTTCTTGTTGACAATGAACTGATGCAGCTCACTAGTATCACATAACCCTTGGTCAACGAGCTGTTCGGAGCACAGATAGTGTGTAGAATAATCGGATACCTTCACTCCCAACGCATCCATATCGCTGTATTCAAATATGACGACAGAGAGAGAAGAATGCACATTATCATCCCCTGACTTGAAATATTGTAAATTCACTTCGATGTGAGGCTCGATATCCCCATCCCAATCTTGTTTACTGTACATGCTCGTGCAGAACTGAGGCGAAAACCTCGTCAGACATACCTTTTCAGCAAGGACAGATGATGCCAAAGTGCACAGCACCAGGAATAGCAACCGCTGAAGCCTCATATAAGCGCAATTATTTGTATGGGAAGTCGCTATCTAATTTGGTTGTTGGACTTGATATTCCGTGTAAGGGGGTACCCATCGAAAAAGCATGCAAATGTTAATCAAATGTTCATGTCTTGATGTACATTTGCACTGCACACGCAAAAACCAAAAGTGCCAAAAGGCACTGATTACCACCCGTTCGAAGATGACAATATGGTTTACTTGTTACTTTATTGCCCTCTTATCCGCCATTGGACACCAGAAATGCAGGTCAAGACGGCCGTGGATACAGCTATTAATCTCTCGCGAGATGTGGACTCATGTCCCTACTGGCTTAGCTTATTTTTTGCATGCAGAGATGCCTGTCGTCTAAGCCGCTTATTATTACACAAAAGACACTACTTAGACTCTACACACATTCCTCATGCAGCTCACACGATATGAGTATTCAAAGTCATGCAATTTAATAATTCTGGTTATTCGAGATTGAAATTGAAAAAAAATGCAGACATCTTCAAATCTCAACGGCAAGTGATCCCTTACCAGTTTTCACGCTCTTTGGAATGTATGAGTCACGTGCATATCGTGCATCATCTTCGGTCGCATCATCGCATGAATACCCCTTGTATTTTGTCTTGGCAAGCAACTCTTACGATTGGAATTGAAAGTCCCTGGTCGGATACTTAGCTATTCAATAACTGCCGTCAAAGTTGGTTTTCCATTTAGGCCATTTTGTTTAGCGAATTTTTGATCCACGTTAATCATATGTTAATTTGTATTCTCGATTTCGTCAGGGTTGAAGAAAGAAAAGTCCGGCAATTTACTGTGAGACATTTGGTGATGGAACGGCACTTTGTAGCAAATCGGGTGTGTTCCACCGGCAATATTTTGTCAAATTGAAATGGCCAGCCTAGTATTTGAAGTCGACGCGTTGAAATATGTCCGACACAAAGGCTGTGCGTCTCATGTTGAGTGAGAGTGCGGCGTAATAGACGAGATTATGCAACCATTGGGACCATATTAAGTGGATTCTCTCGCTCTCCAAATATGCGGCCCCAGACTGTGCTAATGCTTATTGTCAGAGAAACTTTCATTTACCTATTTGCTTTGG